GCTCTTACAACGGTGGCTTTCATGTGCTCCAGACCTTCCACTCTGCTCTCCTCCCAGGCCAGAACTTTCCATAGACTCTGCCTAAAGCTTTGATAGGTTCAAAATTAAATCCTTCTCTAAGTGATGACAGAGCAAAATCGTTTTTTTTTTTAAAAAATACACTTTTATACATTGTATTTTTATATAAATATATATACGATCTGTATAGAAGTATCACCCACAAAAATGCATTTTAAAGCAGAAGACGATGCAGTGTTTGAAGAATCTCAGATCTGCCCTGGACAGACTTTCCTCTCGATATTTGCTGTATCACCGTAGCACCACAAAACCCCAGCCAGGATGGGAGCTGCGGGGTGCCACGAGCGTACAGATGAACACACGCAGAGCCCAAAGGATTTTACAACCGGCTCTGCAGAGAAAGCCAGTGCCACCAACACCATGGGAAACCAGGCCCAGTTCAGAAAAACATCCTGGTTCAACCAAGTACATAAACGCATCTGTACGTGCTCACCTCAGTGATGGGACCCCAAGCCACCCAGCACATGAAATCAGGGATGCTCATGCCATCGGGCTTGGTGCGGGCCCTACGGGTGACACTGACGGCCTGGGGGGAGATCACCGCTGCATCCCCACTCCTGCACAGCCCCAGGGCTGGGCTATGCTGAGCATCTCCTGGTCCCCTGTCTCCAGCTCCCCACCGCAGGATGGTGGGTGATGCAGAACCACAAACTGAACACCCAGGCTGCAAGAGGAGGTGATGGAGGCAGACAGCCAGAGGTGAGCGGTTCTGCTTAAACGTCACTGCAAATACACCCTGCAGCCCCTCCAGACAAGAATATGCCAAGCCAAACCCATAAGCTGGGCAGAGCTGGATGCATGCAACTGCACCACCACAGGGGATGGAGGTAGGAAAAAGCCCTGATCAGCAAAGGAGAAGCAAGCCAGGATCCAAAAGGATTTCAGTCTCGTGAGGCAGCATCCTGCCTGGATTCTCCACTGCCTGCTGCTGGGCTGTGCGCTCACGGCAGGCCCGCCCCCACCGGGACGCCGGGGCCACCGACC